TCGTTTCAGGTCCGTTTTTGGTCCGTTCTTGGTTCGTTCTTGATCCGATTCAGCTGAATTCTTGCCTAGTATATAAAAAAAACGCTGAAAATCTTGAAAACGTCAATTTCAACATTTAAAACAGTTGAAAAAAGATTGCAAACCCTCAAAAATCCTAGATTTTCTATTTTTTTATGCCTCCCACCAAAAAAAAGTGGAAAAAATGTCCCACCCTCTAATTTTTGACCAAATAGCATTAGTCGACCTCACACATAAAACAATTTGGACCCTTTTCCCACTTTCTCTTCTAGCTTCCCGTTTTTGGCGCCTTTTTTTCTACTAGGACACTAGAAAACCCAAAAAAAGTTCTGCTATTTTCAGAAAAGTAGTTATAACTTGAAAACCAAGAAAGCTAGAAAAAACTGTTCAATATCAAATTAAAGAGCATAAAATTTTACATATTTTTCTAGTTTTCAATGTTTTGCTAGCTACTGTAGTTTCAGAGATATGCGCATTTTAAGTTAAGCGCGCGCTGGAGCTTGGTGGCCTCTTCCCCTGCATATTTAGAAAACTACAATAGCTAGCAAAACGTTGTAAATTTCAAAAATTTCAAACATTTTAAAATCTACATCTTTGTAGCTTACAAGTTCTGACTAGCTACCATTGTTTTTGAGTTATGCGCCTTTAAAAAAACATCCCCTCCCTTCCGACGCCCGATGTCCGTGCGCTTTAATGACGCATAACTCAAAAACTATTGTAGCTAGTTAATCATCAAAATGTTTCAAATTTTATGTTCAACAACTTTTTAATTAACAACTTTTTGATAACTACTGTAGTTCTGGAGTTATGCGCATTTAAAAAACATCCCCTCCCTTCCAATGTCCGATTTCCGCGAGCTACCCTTAAAGGCTCATAACTCAAAAACTACGGTAGCTATCCAAAAGCTGCAAATCACAAAAACGTGTACAATTTGGTGATCTATATTAAGACTCTGTACCAATTTTATCTAGCTATCATCGTTTTTGAGTAATGCGCCTTTAAAGTTAGCACCCACTCTTTTTTAAGGCGCAGACAACTATATCTTTCAAAAGAAGAAGTAAACACTTTTTGGCGCTTTTTTCCTAGATCTTTTTTGCTCAAAGATCCCCCAGAGACTATAATATATGCATTGAGTTTTTGTGTTCCATCAAAAGAGACGAGCTATTTAAAACAAACATCTAAGAAATAGGGACCAAAACGTTCTAGACTCTTCTGGAAGCTTCTAGGATCCTTCAGGCTTTACAAGAGCTTTCCGAACAGTCTAGGACCTTCTGTAACCCTAAAAAAGCTTCTAGACCCCTCTAGAATGTCCTAGAACCTTTCAAAACCTTCTACAATCTTTTCAGCATGGCGACCACCTCTGTTCCAGCCCCTGGTGTCCAGGATTACGACCTAATGCAGCCTGGAATGTCTCGATTGAACTTAAATAGTTTAAATCCAAGTGGAATCAATTTGGCTCGAGAATATGAGCAGTTGAAGGTCGAATATGATACAATTATGGAAAAACTAAACCAAACAATGAATAGTATCAAGACGTTTTGGAGTCCCGAGCTTAAAGTGAGTGTATCGTTCAAACCAAAAGAGAAAGGGGCTGATTTCCAGCTATATAATTGCTCAGCATAAAATTCTACACATTTTTTAAGTTTACAGGTTTCCAATAGCTACAGTAGTTGTTGAGTTATGCGTCTTGGCCGTCAGAGGTCCCTTGTTAAAGGCGCATATCTCAAAAACTACGGTAGCTAAAAAAAGAGTTGTGAACTACAAAAATCTGTGAAATTTTACGCTAAGCATCATTGCAATTAGAATGTTTAAAATATCTACCGTAGTCACTGAGATATGCGCCTTTAAACATAACCAAGCTAATTTTTCAGAGAGAGCGTCAGATGCGTCGTGACGAAGCTAATCGGATTGCTCATTTGGAGAGAATGGTACAGTCGGGAGGGATCGGTGGTAATGAATATGGATTAGGATCCACAAACGAAGGTAATTATCTATTTTTATAAATTTAAAAATATGTAAAACCGCTTAGATTTGAGCAAGGGGCCTTCTAATAGTTCTATCGCTTTTTTTAGGGCTAGAAAACGCTGGAAAAGAAGAGAGTGCAAAGAAATCTAGCTTCTCTGCGTCTCTCACTCCTCCCCAGTATTTCAAAAATCACTAAAAAAAGAAGCAAAAAGAAATAAAAAGGTAACTGGAGGTATGGGGAATCGAACCCCAGACTTCTCGCATGCAAAGCGAGCGCTCTACCCCTGAGCTATACCCCCACACTCTCGTTCGAAGTGAATGGCGGTTATAAATGGAGAGGAAAATGGGAAATATTGGAAGGGTCGCAACTTTGGAAGGAGAAGAGATACTGAAAATTTTTCAACAAATGAATTGTTGGAAATTTTATGCTGAGCAATTATGTAGTTAACAACTTTTTTGTAGCTAAATTGATTTCAGAGATATAGGGTCTTGAAGATAGCTTTAGTTAGTTGCGAGGTTCTCTGTGTTCGCTTAGGTGGTGTGCGTTAACTTTAAAGGCGCATAACTCAACAAGTACGGTAGCTAGGTAAAATGTTTAAACTTATGAAATGTGCAAAATTCAATTTCACACAACATCATATTTATTAATTTGTAGTAGATATTGTAGTTTTCTAGATATGCGCCTTTAAAATAGGGTTCATCCCGAAGCTAGACGTCAGCGGGGACCCTCTCTTTGAAGCCGCATAACTTAAAAACTACGGCCGGGTCAAATTTTAAAATAAAAATATATAGCCCATAAGATGGTAAGCATTTTGACAGATTACAGCTGTTACCTAGCTAATGTAGTTTTGAAGATATGCGCCTTTAAAGTAGAGGGCGCCCAAGACCAGGACTTTGGCGGGTACTTTTTCTTTAAAGGCGCATAACTCAAAAACCATGATAGCTAGGTAAAAATTTTACATCACAACGTTATAGCACATGAAATTTTACACATTTTCCTAGTTTTGTGATTTTTTATAGCTGGCTTAGTTTTCGGGTTATGCGCCTTTAAAGTAGACAGTACCTCGGAGCTAGACGTCGACGGGGACACTTCCTTTAAAGGCGCATAACTCAAAAACTACAGTGTAAAAATATAGAACATAATATTTTACACATTATACAGTAGTTTGTTACAGCTCTCCAACTCCGTATGGAGCTACGCGAACGCGACGAACGAATCCGTCAACTCACCACCGCCCTAGAATCTGGTAGCAGTCATGGAGCAATGGATGGAAGAGTCAGAGAACTGGAAGACACTATAATGAGACTTCAAGACCTTCTAACAACAAAAGAGGCTCAATCAATGATGGCATCACAAGATCCATCAGGACGGCAAGCTATAGAGAACGCATTACGACGAATTGATGAAAAGCAGGCGAGAATCGTGGAGTTGGAAGATGAGCTAATGAGACAGCGAATGGGAAGAAGTAATCAGCCGAGAGATTTCACTGATAAGAATTTAAGTGGACATGAGATGAGCACAATGAGGATGAAAATGGATCGAAGTGAAGTTGAGCTGGCTGAGAAGAAGCAAGAGCTCATGGGATGCCAGAGTAGGATGCAGACTGCTGAACAGACGGCTAACGAGATGAAGAGTCACCTTCAAGTGCTCAAAGATCAATTGACGAATCGAGAACAACATAATACTTTGTTACAAGGCGATGTTGATGCATTACGACAGAAATTGGACTCGAAGAATAAGCAATTAGAGCAGAAAGATGAGAGAATAGCGGTGCTGGAAAGAGATCTGTCGAGTGCCAAGGCCGATGTATCGGATAAAACGGAATTGATCAGGCAGACCGAGATTAAGGTGAGCATTTTAAAATTGAGGATGAAATGAGCTTCATAACGAGCCCAAACACGGCTAGAATCGGTCAAGTTTGAGCAGCTTTGTTTTGGGCTCAAAAGTTAGGAAACTTGAATTACCCACATCTCAACTAGTTTTGAAATTTAAACATTTTTGGCTATACTTTCTTAAATAGCTTAAGGAGAGCTTCAAAATGAGCCCAAACACGAGTAGGCTCCGCCAATTTTTAAATTTCACCTAGACACGCGACGCACGACCGCGACGCTCCTAAAAAGATCAAAGTTGAGTGATTGTAGTCGTGTTTAGGCTCATTTTGAAGCTCAAAAAGAGTTAAAGACAGCGCAAAAAAAGTTTTGAAGATTTGAAACAAGATGAGTGAGAAAAATACGATTTTGGAAAAATTTTCACAAATTTGAAAAGTTTGAAACGCCCTTTTTACGATTTTTGTGATATTTTTTTGATTTTTGTCATTTTTTGGGGCGTTGTTTTGCGTTGAGCTTCAAAATAACTCCAAACACGACTAGAATAGCTCCACCTTGAATTTTGGGGTGCGTCGCGGTCGTGCGTCGCGTGTCTAGGTGAAATTTCAAAGTGGGCGGAGCCTAGTCGTGTTTGGGCTCATTTTGAAGCTCAAGACAAAACAAATTGATTGGTAGTCAGTTTGGTGTGATAACTTCAAACTCTCCCTAACATTTGGACCACTTTGTCTCTGATGAAAATTTTAATAAAGCAAATTTTTAAAAAATCACGATTTTCTGCATTTTCCTTCTTCCAAAAAGTTTCAAACTTTCCGATAATTGAACATTGTAATTTAGTAAGGTCAAAAGCTTCGAAATAAGGCAAATTTCAAAGTTTTGGATTCGTCGCGGTCGTGCGTCGCGTACTTGCCTGTAATTTCAAAGTGGGAGAAGCCTAAGCGTTTTTCTGCTCATTTTGAAGCTTGAAAAACAATACATCTGAATTTGGGACGTTCTAAGCTTTGAAATAAGCCCAATCACGACTAGAATCGCGCAATTTCTATTTTTCGAGAGCGTCGCGGTCGTGCGTCGCGTGCCTCGGGGGAAAATCCAAAGTGTGCGAAGCCTCCCTCTATGTCGTCCTACATTCTTCCCAGCCATTCTAACAGAGCCCCGTATTTGTTCAGAATCAACGGTCAATACTTTGACTGCTTCCTTCACAGAAACTTGTCTATGTGGAACCGTGTATGTAAGGTGATAAATTCTAAGCTCAGTCCGGTGGCGTTTGCTAAGCGAGTAGGAGCGATTCCTTATGATATTCTGATCCCTCCCACTTGACCTACAGTACTCTAGTCGGTCCGTCTGGTCATTTTACTTTTTTTATTTGTACAGGTCCCACTTCTTGCCAAATTATCTATCGATTTCACCCCCATGCATTGCAAATAAATATATTATTAGTCGTGTTTGGGCTCAATTTGACGCTTGAAACACAATAGATCTGAATTGAGACCGTAGAGGACTTCAAAATGAGCTCAAACACGACTAGAATCGTTTGAAATGCTTATTTCCGAAACTAGCCGAGATATGACTCAAAATCCTTATGTGGAGAGTTTCAAAATGAGCCTAAACACTGCCAGATAGTGATTTTTCAAAACTTCAAAACTTTCAAAATTTCAAGATAAGTTTAGACGCTTTAAAAACAAACCAGATCTTAATAACCGATTTTTTTGCAGACCTCCCAACTAATCGGACGAATCGACAGTCTTGAAAACACGGTCCGCGAGAAGGAACAAGACCTGGACCGCGCGAAAATCCGCCTTCTATCTCATCCAGACGTTCAAAAGGAGAAAGAAATGACCGAGAGAATTGAGCAAGGGGAGAGAGAACGTATAAGGCTACAAGAGCATATCGATCAGCTAAGAAGGAATTCTGAGAAAGAGCATTTGGAGCAACAGAAGACGTATCAAAACGAGATGACACAGTTGAGAGGGACCATTGAGAATCTACAAAAGGAGTTGGCGGACAGAGATATCCTTTTGGAATCCCAAAATGAGAAGATTGGTGATATGAATCGAGATTTGAACCAGGCAAAGAAGCGACTGGATGATGCGATGGTTGATAAGGGGACTGATGAGCTTAGGATGGATGTGGAGGATGCCAGAAAAGAGGTTGAGAAACTTCTGAAAATGGTTCATTCGCTGGAAAAGGAAAACTTAAATTTGACAGCCCAAATTAAGCAGAATGCCGAGAAGACTACAGTACCCCCTTCTTCTGGAAGTGTAGCTGGAACCTTGACAAAGAGCTCTAATCAACAATCAAATCTTCATAAACGTATCGAGGAACTTGAGGAAGCCCTTCGAGAATCTGTTTCGATTACTGCGGAGAGAGAAGTTCACTTGTCGCAGCAGAAACATCACTTACAACAAGTCTCATCGCAATTGAATGAAGCCCGGAAGGAAGTAGGTTTTCATAGCTTCAAAATGAACCTAAACATGGCCATCAAACAATGGTTTTTGTTCTCAAAAACAGCAAATTCGTTTTTAACCCCAATTTTTGCTTATTTTGACATTTTTTGAAATTCTACGAACTCCTATTCGAAAATTAATGTCACCATTGCCTTAACCTTGTTCAGAGCTCCAAAATGAGCCCAAACACGACTAGGCTCCGCCCACTTCTATGTTCACCCTTGCGCACGCGACGCACGACCGCGACGCGTCTAAAAAATCAAAGTGGGCGGAGCCTAGTCGTGTTTAGGATCATTTTGAAACGCTTATAGAGCTAAACATAACTATGTATAGTAATTTGTAGATATTTCGAAATTTTGGAAAAATGTCAAAATGTTCGGAAAAAAATTTCCCCGGAATTTTCTCAAATTGCCCATATTGAGAATGTTTAAACTGTCTAAAAATAGGTTATTGACAATTGTGAGCTTTTTAGCTTTAAAATGAGCCCAAACACGACTAGACTCCGCCCACTCTGAATTTTCGCCCAGGCACGCGACGTACGACCGCGACGCACCCAAAAAAGAAAATGGACGGAGCCTAGTCGTGTTTAAGCTCATTTTGGAGCCCACTCAAAAATACGTAGATTAGTACTGATTTGAAACGGCTATCTTCCGAACTAGCCGAGATATGACAGAAATTCTGATTCTAACAGGGAACAAATAATTTAAACTCAAAATTATTTTATTTTGACTTTTTTAAAGGTTCTGCAAGCCAATAATTTGAGTTTAAAAGGGTACGAGCTTTAAAATGAGCCCAAACACGACTATGCTACGCCCACTTTGAATTTTCACTTATGGCACGCGACGCACGACCGCGACGCGCCGGAAAACTCAAAGTGGGCGGAGCCTAGTCGTGTTTGGGCTCATTTTGAAGCCCATGATGAAATAAAAATGATTTTGATGTTTGTTGTCAAATAGCAGTCTGCAGAATTTCAAAAACGGTGAAAAATATTTTTTGAAAAATAAAAGAATGTAAAAAAATTTTAAAAATCCACCGATTTTATTGATTTTTTCCAGATTTCCGATCTCCGAAGAAACAAACAAAGCGTATCTGAGGGTGGTGATCGAGATCAAATGATTCGAGCCATCGAAACCGAAAGAAGGCAGCATCTGGAGCAACTCTTCCAGCTAAAGTACCCATTTTTCTGGAATTTTCCCCAAAAAATCGATAAATTTTCCAGACAAGAAGCCTTGTTAGCAGCGATATCAGAGAAGGATACTCATTTGGCACTTCTGGAAAAATCTCGAGGTCCTCGAGATGAAATTGAGACAATTCGAAGGCACAAAGACGCGTTGATAAGGAAGTTGAAGCAGGAAAATGAGAGGTTAGTTAAGAGAATCTATAGAAAATTTTGCAATTTTTGATTTGCGCTTGTAATTAGCTTCAAAATGAGCCCAAACACGGCAGGAATCGGCAATGTTTGAAAATTTTTATTTTTGGGACCCAAATTATAAAACATTAAAGGCTCATATATCATCTAGTTTTTCGCATAGAGATTTGAACTCAGCAGCTATCTGCGTATTTTTCAATGCGCTTCAAAATGAGCCTAAACACGACTAGGCTCAGCCCACTTTCATTTTTCAAGCGCGTCGCGGTCGTGCGTCGCGTGTCTGTGGAAAATCTCAAAATGGGCGGAGCCTAGGCGTGTTTGGGCTCACTTTGAAGCTCTTTAAATTTGACATTAAGAAAATTAAGTTTCAGCTTGTGAAAATGAAAATTTAAAAAGTTATCGACAACATTCGGAAATTTCGGAGAGTTCGAAATTTTTAATTTATGGCATATTTTGTATAATATTGCCCCGGAAAACTTGAAACTAGGATTTTTAGTTTGAGCATGCTTAGTGCTTCAAAATGGGCTTAAACACGACTAGGCTTCGCCCATTTCGAAAATTCACGCCAGCACGCAACGCACGACCGCGACGCGACTGAAAAACCAAAGTGGGCGGAGCCTAGTCGTGTTTAGGCTCATTTTACAGTTCTTCTCACGACAAACACGTTAGTATAATTTACAATAGCCGAAAATGAACTTCTAGGCCACCAAGAGCAAAAATTCGGTACCAACAACATGTTTCTCAGTTTTCACGATACTGTAACCCTTAAAATTTTTGTTACTCGCTGACGCAAGATTTATTTTTAAACTTTTTGTAGAAAGTGCTTCATAATGAGGCTAAACACAACCCAATTTGACCGTTTTTTAAGGATACTGTACCTTCTTAACGTTGATGGCCCAACATTAGCCTATTTTTGCACCTGGTGGCGTAGAAATGCATTTTCAGCCTAAAATAACTATAGGACTGTATTTGTTATAAAACGCGCTTTGAAATGAATCTAAACACGACTAGGTTCCGCGCATTTTGAAATTCGACCTAGATACGCGACGCACGACCGCGACGCACTCGAAAAATCAAAATGGGCGGAGCCTAGTCGTGTTTGGGCTCATTTTGAAGCTCTTGGCAAGCCGAATTCGAATCTAACAATATTTTTCAAGAATAATGATGCTGTCTTCCAGAAGAGCCATGGTTGCCCATCCGGATCCGACCATTTCAATGAACGCGATGGCTAGCGTTATCCCTGGAGCGCCGTTGCCAGCACCAATTATTCCAGGCACCATTGGACATCCACCACAAAGTCATCAGAATCCCCACGACGATGATGCCGATGGAATTTGGGCTTGAATTTAGATTTTTAATTTTTCTAATTTTTCAAATTTTTTGAAGATTTCATATCTTTTCACTTTTTATATTCTGAAATCTCACACAATTTTTCCCATGTCCCTTTGAATATTTTAAGTCTCGCCCACAATTTTCTTTCACTATTTAATTGGGTCTTTTATGCCGAAATTTGCATTTTTCAAATTTTCAGATTTTTTGAATAAAATTAGTTATTTATTTTGCAAAAAAATTCAAATTCCCGCCGGCTGTACCGTAGTCCGCGCGGCTTCCACAACACCGTTGGATTTGCCGGCCGACATGAGTGCCTTCAGAAAATTTTCCATGATTTTTGAAAAATTGGAAATCCAGGAATCGGAATTTTCGGAATTTTCTAGAGCCAAAGTGGTCCGGTTGGTTTTAGGCTCCGGAATCTGAAATTTTCAGATTTTTTAGGCTTTTTTAGGCTTTTCCAGGCCTGAATACCTTAATTTCCTTGTTTGGCGTTGACATTGGTACTGTAGTAGTCTTCATACGGCGAGATTCAACGCGCGTATTCTGAAAATTGGTGTTCTTAAAACACTTTTTGAACCTTTTAGGTCCCTAAAACTGAAATTATGTCAACTTTGTTATCAAACTCGTGTTTATCACATTGAGAGATTTAAAATGAGCCCCCACACGACTAGGCTCCGCCCACTTCCATTTTTCCTAGAGACACGCGACGCACGACCGTGACGCGCGGGAATATTCAAAGTGGGCGGAGCCTAGTCGTGTTTGGGCTCATTTTGAAGCTCATAACGAGACAAATGCAGAATTCTGATTAAAACTTACATGACCTGAACCTGTTACAACTTTATCGGCATTCATCAGAGCGATGAGAAGAAGGATTAGAAGGACCAGTTTCATGGTTTTTTTTTAGGAAAGTGACATCTAGAAGAACCTGGACCATTTTTGAATGAAAACTTCTATCTTCCCAGAGTTTAGAATTCATAAAAATTGGGAAAATTATGATTGTTTTCTAGGTTTTGTGACTGAGATTTTGATCAGTGTTCGTGTTTTTTTGTGATATTTGAGTTTATAACAAAAAAAATCGGCATTTAGAAGTTAAAATTCTTATCGAAACTTTACCACATCGTTTTCGTCCTGTTAAGAGCTTCAAAATGAGCCTAAACACGACTAGGCTCCGTTCACTTCAAGCTCCGCCCCCTTTTAAGGGGTCCAGTGAAAATGAGCGGAGCCTAGACGTGCGGGGGGGTGCGTTTTTGAGCTTTCAAAATAGCAAATTCGAATTTCTCATGAAAAAACTCTTTGAAATGAGCCCAAACACGATTACGCTCCGCCCATTTCGAAAGCCCACCCAGACACGCGACGCACGACCGCGACGCGCCCAAAAACAGAAAGTGGGCGGAGCCTAGTCGTGTTTGGGCTCATTTTGAAGCTCACAGCAAGAAAAGTCAAATAAAATAGTTTTCAAACTTCAAAACTCAAAAAATAGGCCACAATGTGCAACAGTTAGGCCATCACAGAAAAGTTGACGAAAAAAACATTCCTCTCAGGAAATTTTTCTTTTTCGCGACCACTTTTTGCCGGCCAATTTTAGCGACCTAAAATTCCCACATCTCCTCATGTGTGGGGATAATTGTAAGGAGACAAAGGGGTGGGTGTGAAGAATGGGTTACTGTAGACAACACAAAATGACTCATGGGAAGGACATGACTTCTATCTACTTCTATCTTGTTTCTTCTTCCTGGGAGCATAGGGAACGCTGTGGAGTGTCCCTCCCATTAGGGGTAAATGCCCTCATCTACAGTAACTCATTGTTTCAAATCCATCCTTCCCACCAACTATGAGTCATTACGTGTCATCTACAGTAACCCCAATTAACACCTTTCCTTTCTTGCTATTCTATTCCACCCTCGTTCTCATATTTTCCCTCTATCATCAGAATATCATCAGAATCTATTATCAGAAGGTGTCCCTCAGAAAACAGCCGATTTGGGCTCTCATATATTTAATAAGAAACAAAATTGGATCAAAGTTGAAAAACTACTCCTTCGCTTGCATTATCACTTTATAGGAAAATTTCGGGAAATTTGATATTTTCGGTTTATGACATTTATCGTAAAATATTTTCTTACAAAACTATGATTTTCAGTTTGAGCATGTTCCGCGCTTCAAAATAAGCCCAAACACGACTAGGGTCCGCCCACTTTGATTTCTTCGACGCGTCGCGGTCGTGCGTCGCGTGCTTTCAGGAAATTTCAAAGTGGGCGCAGCCTAGTCGTGTTTGGGCTCATTTTGAAGCTCTTGGTGTGCCCATTCAGAATCTAAAACCGAATTTCAAGAAAATCCAAAAACAAAAAAGTTATGAAGCCGCAAAAAAATTCTGGAAATGTCAAAAAAATTCCAGGTAAATCATTTTATTCGGGGTAAATTGGGAAAAAATCGTTTTTCAGCTTAAAAAAGTACATTTTCAGCTGGAAAAATCACTTAAAAATGGTGCATTATACATTAGAAACGGGGGAGTGCAATTATAATACAGGGAAAATTGGGGAAAAATTTTAAAAATTTGAAAAAAAATTTTTGTCTGAAATTCCAGAATATTCTAGAAACAATTCTAATCCATGACAATCGTGTCGAAAATTCTCGAATACTGTTGCTCTTCCATCTCCTCATCGCTATCGTCTTCTGCACCATCATCATCGTTGGGACGTCTTCTTTTCCCTCCGAGTCCTTCGCGAGCTCCCAATCCAGCCATAGATGCTCCAGAGGGGGGTCCATCGTCACGTCTCCTGATGCCTCTGACGTCTTCTCGAGCTCCAGCTGCTCCAGAAGCTCTAGATGCTTCGCGAGCATTACATCTACACCTATGGCTGTCTTCAGAATCCGTCGTCACGTCTTCTGAATCCTTCTCCAGAATTATGAACATCCGGCTGAGCAATGACGTCTTCGTGGCGTCCGACATAGAAGAGTAGTATTCGGATTTCGAGATTTTTTGAATTTCTGCTTGCGTTTCGAGATTCTGAAAATTAGAATTTTCGATTTTCAGAATTTCAGAATTTCTGAATATCTGAATTCCTGGAATTTGTGGATTTTCCGAATTTCTGAATGTCGGAATTTTCAAATTCCTGAATTTCTGAATTTCGAAATTTTGCCAAATTTTCAGACAAATTCTCACTTGAATAACGTAGTTTTGAAGTCCGGCCAGTCCGTATCTCTCCGACATGATCAATTTCCACGCGGGACCCATCCATTTGACATCCATCAGCCATTGCTCAGCCTTAAACGCCACCAATGAGCAATCGAAGCGTTGTGACATCCTCAGAAGTGATTCGACATTGCGTGACGTCACCAACGAGTGGGCGGAGCTTAAAAATTTGGAGACTTGGGGAGGAAAAGTTTTTTTTTCCAAAATTTTCAAGATTGTCGGATTCTGATAAAAATTGATTTCACGACCTGAAATGACTTAAAAAAGAGGAATCTGTTAAAAAAATTCCAAAAAATTCAACATTTGAAAAAAAAATTTTAAAGAAATTTTTCAAAAAAATTTTTTCTTCAATTTTCGAATTTTTACAATTTTTTTGACAGTTTCCTCATTTTCAAGTTGTTTCATGTCGTGATATCAATTTTTATCAGAATCCGACAATTTTGAAAATTTTGAAAAAAAATTTTTAAAGAAATTTTTCAAAAAATTTTTTTCTTCAATTTTCGAATTTTTACAATTTTTTTGACAGTTTCCTCATATTCAAGCCGTTTCATGTCGTGATATCAATTTTTATCAGAATCCGACAATTTTGAAAATTTTGAAAAAAAAATTTTGTCAACATTTTCCAACCAAAACCATTTTTTCACTATTTCTTGAGCATTTTTGGATCATTTTAAGCCATTTTTATACATTTTTTCGAGCCTAAATAGGCCATTTTCAGCATGTTTTCAGTCATTTGGAGCTCACCTGAAATCCGGATAAATGTGATGCAGAAAATCGATAAATTCGGTGAATTTGATTTGAGAATCATCGATCGAAAATTCAGAATTCGGTGGATTTGACGAGGTGAAGAGAGTGTGGAAGTATGGAGAGTACAGAGACAGCAGCTGGAAAAAATTTTAAACAATTAAAAAATTTTTTTCGAAAATCTGATTTTTGAGCTTTTCAGACAGATTCAGACCATTTTCAGTTTCTTACCCGTCATTTTCTGATCATTTCGGGACATTTCTACCAATTTTTGGTGATGGCCGAGTTTTGGTGGCCTAGAAACCCCCAAATTCGATTTTTCAATGTTTATTTTATTTTGGATACAGAATGAGACTTTTCAGCCGTTCTAAAGTCAAAATCGAGCTGAAAATCATCAACTACAAGGCAAATTTGAACGCGGTCGAGTTTTTGGCTTTCGGTGACCTAGAAAACCAAAAATGTGATTTTTCGTCCTTTTAAGATTGTTCTAGATGAAAACAAACGCAAAATTCAAATTTCTTGCAAAAAATTAATCTAGGAACCATCAAAAAACGGCTCGTGGCCGAACTTTCCAAATGGTGGCCTAGAAATCTCAAAACTCGGCCGCGTTCATTTTTAGTCATTTTCGGCCGTTTTTCGTCATTTAAAATAGAACATTGGGATTTCGGACCTTGGGAAATTCGAATTTCGGCTTTATTTCAACTAAAATAGTCATTTTTAGGCTGTTTTAGGTTGGTGGCCTAGAAAATTCAAAACTCGGCCACGCTCATTTTCCGCCATTTTAAACCGTTTTCATTGTTTTAAAAAGGGATTAGGGGTTTTGAGCTATGGGAAACTCGAATTTTGGTTTTTTTCCTGTCAAAATATCAAATTTGGGATCGTGGCCTAGAAATCCAAAACTCGGCCACGTTCGTTTTTAGTTACTTTAGACCATTTTCATCGTTAAAAAAAAGGAATAGGTGTTCATGCTCGTGAAATTCAAAAATGCGACTTTTTATTTCAGTCAAAATGCTCAATTTCAGGATGGTGGCCTAGAAACCCAAAACTCGGCCATGTCGGTTTCCAGTTAGTTTTGGTCTTTTTTTGACGTTCAAAGATGGCTCTAGATGAAAACGAACACAAAGTTCGAACTTTTGGCAAAAAATTGGCCTAGAAATCACCAAAAAGCGAGCGTGGCCGAACTTTCCATTTGGTGGCCTAGAAAATTCAAAAACTCGGCCACCATGAAAATTCTTGTTTTTTTGGGGTTTCTGGGGTAGTTTTTGATGGGGAATTTGAATTTCATAGTCTCAACTGACAAAAATATGTGTTTGTATATGAAAAATCGATTTTTCGGATTTTTTTTTTTTAATTTCTGCAATTTTCAGCCATTTTTCGCTATTTTTCACAGTTTGAAATAGAAAATAGATGTTTTCGGCTATGGGGAATTCACATTTCAGCACTATTTTCAGCCCAATCTCACCTGTTTCTGCACGAAGACTTTGCGTCCTTCGACCACCAATACCGTATCGTAGAATCCATTTTGTGGCTCTTCAAAGTTCAAAATTGGCGCCAAAACCAGTCCGCTCACATTCAAAATGCGAATTTTGAATTCCACAAACAGGAAGTCCCCTCCAATCGAACCTTCTCGATTTTCTTCACAAAAATTATGTTCCGAGTCGAAATCCACATGGCGAAATTGCTCATTTCCATGGGTTACTGTAGTGGGCGTGTCCTGTTGGAAGCATACATCGGCTGAGACCTTCCAGAGGCGACTCAGATTCTCAGGCATGCAATATACCCGGGTACTGTAGCCATTTTCAGTGGTACGGAGCTCAAAAATCATCGAAATTCCTCGGAAATCCGCTTTCCACTGCTTCTTTTCGCCGAGATTTTTGAGCGATTCGCCATGGACACTGCGGAATTCGAAATCCGAATTTTCTTCCTTATATGATGGTCCAAACAAGCAGGTCGTCGGCGAATTTTGGAGATTTCGAGAAGTTTCTCTCATCTGAAAATTCGAAAAAATGAGAAAATTCGACGAAAAATGACTAAAAATGGCTAAAAATGCCTGAAAAATTACTGAAAAAGGCGCAAAATAGCTAAAAACTAAAAAAGACCCCACTCGCGCGGGTAGATCAAAAATATTTTATCAAAAAAAATTTTTTTTTTTTGATCTATGAAAAAAATTTTTAATCGATTATTTCAATGATAAATACAGATTTTTGAAAGTTGAAAACAAAAAAATCAAGTTCCCCATCAAAAACTACCCCAGAGACCATAAAAAAACCAAACATTTCCAGGTGGCCGAGTTTTTGAAATTTCTAGGCTACCATTTGGAAAACTAGGCCATGTTTGTTTTTTGTGGTTTCTAGGTCAATTTTTGGTGTAGAATTCGAATTTATGGTTTATTCTCTTTTCAAATGATGGAAAAATCACTAAACCGCTAAAAAAAGATTAGGCCCCGCCCACTTTAAATGTTAGAAGTGGAAAAAAAACAATATTTCAAGCGGAAAATAGAATTTGTCATAGTTTTTCATAATGAAGATCAAATTTCCCATCAAAAACTACACCAGAAATCACGAAAAAAAACAAAAATTTCATGGTGGCCGAGTTTTTGGATTTTNTAGGCCACCATTTGGAAAAGTAGGCCATGAGCCGTTTTTGTGGTTTCTAGGCTAATTTGTAACGTAGAATTCAATTTTATAGTTCATTTTCATTTTAGACCGCCGGAACGTCACTAAACCTCTAAAACATGATCAGGCTCCGTCCACTTCAAATGTTAGAAGGTGAAAACTACATTTCAGCGGAAAATGGAACTTCTAGAAGTTTTTTGTTCTCAAAATCGAATTCTCTACCTCGAATTTACTACCCCAAAAACCAAGAAAAAACCAAAAATTCCATTGTGGCCGAGTTTTTGGATTTTCTAGGCCACCATTTGGAAAACTAGGCCACGAGCCGTTTTCGATGGTTTCTAGGCCAGTTTTCAGCGGAAAATCAATCAGGTTGATATGTATGTGGAAACGTCAACATGAAAATTTGCAATTCCCATTCAGATTGTGTAATCAAGGCTCTGAAGTTATCATTTTATAATTAAGCTCTAGTTTTTCTGATGGCCCATTATTTCTCCCTTTTTCTGAGAATGGCTTGTCTACGTCTCCAAAATATTGAAATATTGAAAACAAAAAAAATCATAAAATGTGTATGCGATGGTGATCATAAAATATGATCATAAACAATACCTTTTTTCGTTTTCCCAGCAAATTCTGTACAACTCTCCTGATAGCCAGGGTTGCAATCTGTCGGGTTGGCCAACGGGTCGGCCCGGCCCGGCCGGTAAAGCCCGGCCCGCCGGCCGGGCCGGCCCGAGGGAAAAAAAACCAGGGCCCGGCCCGGCCCGGCCGGCCGGCAATTAATTAATATTTGAACGCGCGCCATTTTTATTTGCAACGATGCTCCGATATGACAAGGCGCGCATTGTTTAGCAGCCCGTGTCGATTTACGGGGGTTTGTTTTGTTTTTTTTCGACGATTTTTTGCGTTTATCAACCGATTTTTCTCCTTTTTTGTCGCGAATTTCCTGATAATCCCTATTTTTCATAAAATAATTATTTTCAGAGCAAACGACAACGGTAAAACAAGAACAAGATTACTGTACAAGCGTGTGGAGATGGTCGTTCTGGGTTCGCAAATAGCCACGAAATTTCCACACTGGCTCGCTGATTCTCTCACTAATTGTAGTGATTTTTCTAGTTAATTTTATGTTATTTTTCTATCTTTTTTGTTGGATTGGTTGATATGAGCTTTAATTTTCTCCCCCGGTTTCCATTTCTTTGTTTCCCCTTGTTCATTTATACGGTTTTTACATTGTTATGCTACTTGTTAAGAAATAAATTCAAATAATTCTTCAATAATTTCTGTTTTTTCTTAAATTCGAACGGGCCTAACCGGCCGAACCGGCCGGGCCGGGCTGGCCGGGGCTTCCGGCCGGGCCGGGCCGGAGAAAAAATAATCTCGGCCCGGCCCGGCCGGTTGCAACCCTGCTCAAAGCTCACACTATCTCTTTACATTTCCCTACCACTCTCTCACTCTCTCGCTTTACCCATCCCAAACCATTCCTTTTCATTATTCTATTCTACTCTCCCTCACAAATGGCTGGTTCCTGATTTTCCACCGGCCTAAAATTTATCGATTTTTTTTCGATATTCCCCTCTGGACATTTAGAAGTGTATTCCCTATTTTTCTGAATATTTTTTGCTGATTTTTCAAGTTTAAAAAGGTAAGATAATGTTAAAGCTTTCAAATAACCCTTGAAACACAGAAATTCGGATTCCCCATCAAAATCTACCCCAAAAACCATCAAAAAACGAAAATTTTCCTGGTGGCCGAGTTCTTGAATTTTCTAGGCCACCATATGGAAAGTTAGGCCATCGCCTATTTTCTATGGTTTCTAGGCAAAATTTTAGTGTAAAGTTCAAATATAAAATTCATTTTGTGTTAAAACACGACTAGGCTCCGCCCACTTTGAAATTTTACCTGGAGCACGCGACCGCGACGCGCCTGAAAAATAAAAGTGGGCGGAGCCTGGTCGTGTGTGGGCTCATTTTGAAGCCCAGAATCTATTTAATGCGAAAATCCTAAGTGAAAATTTGCCAGAATGAGTTTAAAACATTCAAGCTACTCTAAAACTCTCTTCCAGAAAAGAAATCGTCGGTCGTTTGTCTCGAATCCCACCAATTACTAAGGATCAACTACATTGTGGACATCAATTGGAATTCGGAGAGGTTGCGACTTGCCAGAAAAGAAATGAAGACTCGAATACGGTAGTTCAACCAAATACGGTAACTCGCAGTTCTAAAAATTTGAGAAAAGTGGTTTTTCAGAGACTCGCTGATGGACACACTTACGTGCTCCCGCCACCACCAAAAGCAGGTGATCGTGTTGTGCCATCCGGAAAAATGGTAGAATGCATCTGCACAATAGGCCTCTTCGCTCTTCTATTCATGTTTTTGAATAAACGTTTTTGCTTGAAAACCGTCGTGTTATTCTCAATTTTTCAGATTTTTTAATTACAGAATCTTTGGCATTTTACAAATATTGAAATTTTTACTTTGAGTTCATTTTTTTGAAGTTTAAACATTTTCGATGGATTTGGCTAATGGAGAGCCATTTTGACTGAAATAAAGTCCCATTTTTGAATTTCACGAGCATGAACACCTATTCCTTTTTTTTAACGATGAAAATGGCCTAAAGTAACTAAAAACGAACGTGGCCGAGTTTTGGATTTCTAGGCCACGATCCCAAATTTGATATTTTGACAGGAAAAAAACCAAAATTCGAGTTTCCCATAGCTCAAAACCCCTAATCCCTTTTTAAAACAATGAAAACGGCCTAAAATGGCGGAAAATGAGCGTGGCCGAGTTTTGAATTTTCTAGGCCACCAACCTAAAACTGCCTAAACATGACTATTTTAGTTGAAATGAAGCCGAAATTCGAATTTCCCAATGTTCTATTTTAAATGACGAAAAACGGCCGAAAATGACTAAAACTGAACGCGGCCGAGTTTTGGGATTTCTAGGCCACCAATATTAGATAAATTCATTTATTTTTACAGATTCTCAAAGGAATTCGTTTTGCAAGCGCCACGAGAGTTTAGGGACCTATTCGCTTGTGTTAAACTCGAATTTCTGGACATTTCTCAAGAGTAAGTACCGTACTTATAGAAAACAGAAAATTTGGTGGTGGCCGAGTTTTTGAATTTTCTAGGCCACCAATTGGAAAATTAGGCCATGAGCGTATTTTGATGGTTTCTAGGGTAGTTTTTCATGAGACAATCTATTTTTTGGTTCATTTTCATCTCAAACCATCGGAAAATTTTGAAACCACTAAAACACGAATAGACTCCGCCCACTTTTAATTCCACTCATTTCACAGGTCTCTCGGAGTTCATCGCCATGCTTTTCACAACAATGGAGGATTTTTTTTAATTTTTCAAAGTTTTTCAAATCTTCCTGATGGCCGTTTCAATTTTTTATTATTGTATCTGTTACTCACTGCCTTAAATAAATTTTTTGCCTTTAAAACTGTCTTGAAAACTTCTAATTTTCAGATTTCCCAATTTCAGAATTTTCGAATTTTCATAAAACTCGAATTTTTCATTTTTCAGTTCTTGTTTCTGAACTTTGAGCATTTTTGTTAGATTTATCTCGTCAAGAGCTTCAAAATAAGCCCAAACACGAATAGAATCGCTCAACTTTGATTTTTCAAGTGCGTCGCGGTCGTGCGTCGCGTGTCAACGTGAAATCTCAAAGTGTGCGGAGCCCAGTCGTGTTTGGGCTCATTATAAAACGCAAAACATGCTGGACTCAGATTTTGTCAAAAATTAAGCTTCAGAATGAGCACAAACACGACTAGGCTCCGCCCAATTTCAATTTTCCGTGGAGGCACGGTACGCGACGCGCCCAATAGGGACGCAGCCATGTTTGAACTCATTTTGAAGCTCTTGACATGCGAAGTCAGAATCTACAAGAAAATTTCAAAAAAGCCTAAAAATAAGAAAGTTATGACACCAAGTTGAGCGATTGTTTCTCTTACGTGTTGGCTGGTACACACAGGGGGGGGGGGGTCAAAATGACCGTCTCTGCGTCTCTCTCTCTTTGGAACACTCTCTCCTCCTTGTCTACTGCGCAGGTAGACAAGAGGGCGGAGTCTCACTGTCGACCCCTCTTTTCCTATTCCTCCTCATTCCATTACTCTACTCCCCCTACCAAATGGCTGGTTATTGATTTTCCACCGGCCTAAAACCCCCAAAAAACGCTTCAAAATGGTCCGGTAACTGAATCTGGACCTTTTGAAGTGTGTATTCTTTCTATTTTTCTGAAAATTCTATCTGTTTTTTTGCGGATTATTCAAGTTTAAAAAGGTGAGCTAGTTTTAAAAAATCTGAACATTCGGAAAATCAGATTTTTGCAGTCGTTTCTGACTTTTGAAACACAAAAATTTGAAATCCTCATCAAAATCTACCGTAGAAACCTTGAAAAACAAAAATTCGCCTTGTGGCCGAGTTTTCGAATATTCTAGGCCACCAATTGGAAAGTTAGGCCATGAGCTGTTTCTGATGGTTTCTAGGCTATTTTTTTGCAAGAGGTTTGAATTTTGCGTTCATTTTTATCTAGAACCATTTTTAAACTACAAAAATCTACCTAAAATGACTAAAAATGAATGTGGCCAAGTTTTGGGTTTCTAGGCCACCGATTGGAAAGTTAGGCCATGAGCCGTTTTTGATGGTTTCTAGGCTAGTTTTTCATGGAGAGCTTGAATTTTTGGTTTGTTTTGTGGTTGCATCAACTAGAAATACTGAAACATTAGCATTCATAATCTTCGTTTCGTTTCATGTACCAAAAAGCAGAGGATGGTCGATTTGAAGTTATGAAGCGCCTCGTTCACAGAACATCCAAACCGGATCTCATCTATTTTGCGATTCACACCGTTTTTCCAAAACTCTGCCTCAAATATGCTTCTTCGGATGGTTTGGAGAAGTTGTGCCGATCCAGAAGTTCTTCAACACTTCATTGTGGAGCACATGGATTTGAAAGTCGAGGATAAGGATGAAAGATGCTCAGAGGATTGCTTCAGAAAAGAAGGTTCTGGATCCGAGGTGTTGCTGTATGTCGCCAAAGCGTTTCTGAACGATCTGCTGCTCCGATCAGAAACATTGATCACTGGATTCTGCGAACGAGAGTTAATTGAAAAGCTCATGGAATACTCGACACAACCAGACGGCCGATTGTACACTGAAGAACAACAAGAAAGACCAAGCGTAAGTGGTTTGTGGGGTTCAAAGATGAAATAGGCCAATTCGAGATATTGGGCTTCATAATTTTCAATTTTTTTCATATTAAAATGTATCAAAATACCAAATTTCAGGGAATTCAAAAATCGGCTAACCAGATTCCAATGAGCCGACTGTTCCACATTGCTCATGCAAGAAGTACTGCAAAAGACGATAGAGCAATCGGACGTGATCAATGTGAAGAGAACAAATGTCCCTTTTTTTTTTGAATAAAATTGTTCTGCTTAAAAACCGTCTTGTTATTCTCAACTTTTCAGATTTTTCAATTTTAGAATCTTTGGAATTTCAAAAAACTTGAAGTTTCTCACTTCATAAGTTCATGGCTCCCAATTTAGAGCATGTCTGCTAGATGTGGATTGTCAAGAGTTTTAAAATGAGTCCAAACACGACTAGGTTTTTCCTACTTTGAGTTTTCGGCGCGTCGCGGACATGCGTCTTGTGCCATACGACGCCACCGCACATGGGACGCGGCTCATTGACTTGTCCAGTCGGCCTAACCCCCTCAAAACGCTTCAAAATGGTGCGGTAACTGAATCTGGACCTTTTGAAGTGTGATCTCTATTTTTCTGAATATTTCTAGTATTCCTAGCTTCAAGTTTAAGAAGGTGAGCTTATAATCAAAATCCGACTTTCTGAGTCATAAATCATCTTTGAAACACAAAAATTCAAATTCCCCAACAAAAACTACCCCAGAAACCCAGAGAAAACTGAAAAATCCGAGGGGGCCGAGTTTTTGAATTTTCTAGGCCACCATTTGGAAAGTTAGGCCATGAGCCTTTTCAAGTGGTTTCTAGGATAATTTTTCGCGGGAAATTCAATTTTTTAGTAATTTTGGTGTATCGTGTCATTTTGGCAATGAACTTGAATAGTGGCTTAAATTTGCCAACGTTGGCCAAAATGTGCCCAAATTGCCCAATACTCCCAATTTGCATAGAAATATGTAAAAAGTTTTGCAGGAAACCATGGCGAATGTTCCCTACATTCTTCATACAAAGCGGATCCAGCTAAAATTGTCAGAGTGAAAAAGTAAGTTCCTTCGAATCAAAAAATTGAAAAAAAAACTTATTTAATTCTAGATGTGACAATGAGGATTGTGATTGCAGTACAAATTCTTGTGACAATTATAGTATGTCCAAAGTCGTGTGCTCTGAAAAAGGCTGGATGTAAAAACCAAGTCTTCGAAGAATACCGACAACTACGAGGCAAACGCTTTTTTGCCAAATCCTCTGAAGACAAAGGAACTGGACAAAATGAGTTCATCATTCCTTACAACGGAGAAATCATCATTTCTATTCCTGAGCTTCAAATTCGAATACAAGGAAAATGGTGAAACCCATACGTACCCGTTCAAAACTGGTCGTAGGTTTTACATCGATCCTACAAAATGTGGAAACTCCGTTCGATTTGCCAATCATAGTTGTGAGCCAAACATGATTGCGAAGAAATGGATGGTCAACAATCGAAAGGAAGGACCAAAAACAGGCGTCGAGAGAGAGGGGGGGATGACACCACAGACACGCGGAAGATACAGTACCTACCGAGCAATAGGTATCGAAGAGCTATCGTTGCGCAATTAAAGATTCCGATGGACTACGTCTTCTTGCTGCTGTAGCCTTCATTTACACGGGTATCGACAGGTGTCCTATCAGAGCATCAGTGTTGCTATGAAAAACCTTCATACGAATCCAAGTCCGTTTTTTCCACCTTCTCGCTGCATTGTTTGAAGTATGGAAGATCAGCTGGGAAATGAGAACAAAAAAATTAAAAATGACCGAACAATTTTGACTTTTATAGGAATCCAGACAGTGATGCCATGTAAACGCGGTCCCAGACAATTGACGTTGAAGTCTGGGAAGGTAGACCACTAGAAATATCAATACACAAATACGATGGAAGCTACAGAAAACTCCACCTCGCTAGTGCATTTGATCTATTTTTCCGCAAAGAAAACATAAATCATAGGAATGGACTTTGAAACTTTTATTTCTGATTAAAAATAGATTAGATTCTGTTAGTTTCTTGTTCGAGTTGTTTCAGCAAAAAAGATGAAATGAACTCCTTGATTCTGTCCTTCGAGATGAACCACTGCAAAAAGAAACTTGTACGGAAAAAACAGTTTTTTCTTTGAGTTCAACTATAATGTTTTGACGCCCATAATTTGGCTTCTAGACGTGAATTACAAAGTCTGAATTGTTTTAAAAAGCTGTAGTGTTTTCATATATCAACCCATTTCTTTATTTCTG